GAGGTGCGCGCGATGGCGCCCGAGTTCTACGACAACTTGCCGCAGACGTCGTCGTGGATTGGGACGCTCTACGACTACATCATGGACGACAACATCAACGCGTACAGCCGCGTGAAGCGAAAGACGCTCAGCGCGGCCGACCGCGCCAAGCTCAAGTCCGAGTAACTCTTGACGTAATCTGTGCAATTTCACTATATTTCCGACCTCTCAGCTTGGTCTTCTCGACGCGTGTACATACATGTACACGCGTCGTGCAAGACAACATACCTTCGTTGCGCGTACTGGTGCACGAAAAAGAGACGTTCAGAGACCCTGTGCGCAACCTTAGCAACTAGTATATCGACTAGACAACGCACTAGTACTAGAATTGCACGAATAAGAGACGTCCAGAAACCGAGTTTGTGGCGCTTGGCCTCGCGTCGTCGGCAACAGCCCTGCGCCCATATTCGCTGGAGCATGCTTGATGCCAATCGAATCCTGCCTGCCATTTGTGACGTTCCTCCTGTGTCTCTAACGACCTCCCGACGACGCAGGGGCCGATCGGGTCAACTTGCCGTTGCCGTCATGCGGCCACGTCATTTCGTGGTCCCGGCCCAAGGGCCTGCAAAGCGATCCTAGCATAAAAACGCACCTAGTTTGGTGGCCCTGTGTCGCCGCTAATTAAATTATTCGACCTTGGGATTTGTATGTAAAATCCGGATAAAAAGCAAATTGCATTAAATTCAATTTTTGAAGCCTTGCAGCGACGCCACCGATGTCCACCGAAGTTCACACCGCGTGGGCCCGTGCAGTTAGTTAGTAACAAGGCGCCAAACTAATCTTCGAGAAGTAAACTACGAGCGTCTCGCCACGTGGTGTGTAGTCTCTCTGCTTGCGAAGGTCGAAGGTTGGCGGGAAAGCATCGCCACCTGGCTCCGCGCCTCTACCCCGACTTTTGTCATTTCGTACTTAGTCGAATTCTGCGAGTTGCCGGCCAGTCGCAGTCAGTTTCGGATTCGCGCAGCATGGGCAAGGGTGGCAACGCAGCGAGCACGATCAAGCCGGTGGCGGCGCCGACGGACTTTACGTGGGACACCAACGACGAGCCGCATGCGACGCGCCGCAAGCTCATCTCGGCCAAGTACCCGCAGATCAAGTCGCTCTTTGGTCCGTGCCCGCGGACCAAGTACCAGGTCGCGATCGCCGTGAGCCTCCAGGTGGCCATGACCTTCTACGTGCACGACAAGTCGTGGATGACGTACGTGGTCGCGGCCTACGTCTTTGGCGGGACCATCAATCACATGATGATGCTGGCCATGCACGAGCTCGCGCACAACCTCGGCTTCAAGAAGATGCTGTACAACCGCCTCTTGTCGCTGCTCGCCAACGCGCCGCTCGGCGTGCCGGCCGCGATCTCGTTCAAGCGCTACCACATGGAGCACCACCGGTACCAGGGCGAGGACGGCGTCGACGTCGATATTCCGACGATCGCCGAAGGCAAGTTTTTCACGACGCGCTTCCGCAAGTTCGTCTTTGTGTGCTGCCAGTCGCTCTTCTACAGTCTGCGCCCGCTGCTCGTGAACCCCAAGGCGCCGGGTCTCTGGGAATTCATCAACTACGCGTCGTGCATCGCCTTCAACAGCTTCATCTACTACTTTAGCGGCTGGTCGGGCCTCTGCTACCTCTTCCTTAGCACGCTCCTTGGCGCCGGCCCGCACCCGTGCGCCGGTCACTTCATCTCGGAACACTACGTCTTTGTCAAGGGCGCCGAGACGTACTCGTACTACGGCCCGCTCAACCTCTTTGCGTTCAACGTCGGCTACCACAACGAGCACCACGACTTCCCGTTCGTCGCGGGCTCGCGTCTTCCGGAGGTGCGCGCGATGGCGCCCGAGTTCTACGATACGCTGCCGCAGACGTCGTCGTGGATCGGTGTCCTCTACGACTACATCATGGATGACTCGATCAACGCGTACAGCCGCGTGAAGCGAAAGACGCTCACGGACGCTGAGAAGGACAAGCTCAAGACCGAGTAAACTTCCACGATTCTCAATACATACGCTCATTTGATGATGTCTCTCAGTGTACTCTTGTTGGTCCATCGACGACATGCGTGGACGCTTCAGGTGATAGGAAGAGTACCAACGGCAGCGGAATCGATAGAGCGGCAGCACTGTGCAGCAGACAGGACAACGTCCACGCGACGATGATGGGAGAAGGTGATGGAAGTACCTTGTTGGGTGGCTGCGATCGGCCGACAGTAATCGCGCTGATTACCGCGGACGAGGTCAACTGACTGCCTGATCGGCGGGCCACTCGCCCAGACGATAAAGAGCTGACACTCCAAGGTCTAGGCATGCATGCAATCCCAAGTTGGTTTACCGAATCGGATTCTTGTTCGCCAGCCGAACCCTGTCGTGACGTGGCAGCACGAAACGGCACGGCGAAGATCGCAAACTGTGCATAAAGATTGCACCGTACTAACTTAGTATATTTTCGTCGACCACAAGCGAAGGTTCAGCTCTCGGCGTACTCTGTACTTCCCACTTGCCTCTTGGGCTCTTGACCCTGCTCATAAGATTCTTCGAAGCAGGGTCATCGTACCCCGACAAAAGTGGTTTCTGCTCGTGCTTGGCGATGCGTCGACAAGGTCTTGGCGCCGAGCGTACTGTAGCCGTCGGGACTTCTACTGTGTCGCAGCGCGTTGACGCTTCCTTCTCCTTAGAAGGACATGAGAGGTCGCATCCAAGCGGATGCTCTGGGACTCGCCTAGTGGAGACGTCGCCGCAGGCTGCCACGAGCTGCGGTGGCGGATCCCGTTTCCGGACGGACTGTGCCGAATCTACTGTCGATTCAGGCTGATATATTGTCCTAAAACAATATTATTTACATATCGTGGCATCCGATACAAATATCCAGCCAACTTCAAGTCCTCAACAATCTATATTAGGCAAAAAACGGATTTGTCCCTCCGAACCTGGCGAGATTCGAACTTCGAAGCACAAGTCACACTTTATTGTAATACAGCAAAATCAGCTTCAGGCATTGCTCATCTAAATAAAAATACACAAAACCGAAGATACGATCTCGAAGTTGACGCCAGTAAAGCATGGTTATCCGGACAGCCAATATTGCGGCTGCAAGCTCATCCTGCCAAACCCACGAGCTCGAGCATGGCGCCGATGTCCTACTTGGAGGGCCTACCGCGGACGGCCGCGGTAGCGCCGCGGGTTCAATACCCGCTATGGACCGCTTCTAGTCGACGACAGGTACGTAGGTGACGGTAAGCTCTTATCTGCAGTGGTCTGCCCCGTATTTGCGACCTCTGTCGCTTTCGACGAGGTTTCTCCATTGCAGATTTGGCCGCTTATAGCTCAGCTACGATGAAAAGCACGCTGCGCAACATGGAGGCCATCGGGCCCGCTCAGCCAACGCTCAAAAAGACTAAGGTCCCGCTCCTGCAGGCCATTTCGGCGCCGGCGCCGCCACCGACGCCGTCACCCGCCAAGGCGCCGCGCACGGGCTTTGCTCTCGTGGCTCGGCCCGGTCAAGACGGGGCGACCCTTATTTTGCTTAGCACCGGCCAGCGCGACAGCGTTCGCAAGAACGTGTCCAACGCCGTCCGCAACTCGGCAATCGGCGACGCCAACGCTCCGCACGTCTTCATGTCGTTCACTGACCACCCTGCGCCAGCTCAAGTTGGCCCTGCGATCGCGAAGGCGATTGAAGCCGCGACGGCGACGCTCACGGCGCAAGCCAACGAGCGCGCCAAAGTCCAGTACGTGCAAGAGTTGTGCACGCTGGATAGCGCGTACGTGGTGGCCGTGGACGAGGGCCGCGATACCCTCGCCCTGTTCGAGGCAGTCATCAAGCCGCGGCGTCGCGTGGCGCCAGCCCACATTGTCGCGGACGACAAGTCGAAACTGTTTACATGCGTCCCGACAGATCAGTGGGCCATCGATATCCTTCTCAACGTCGTCATGGCGGCTGCGAAGGCCCTTCAACCGAAGCCTGCGCCTGCGACGCCCAAGCGCGCCCAACCCGCGCTCAAGACCAGTGTCACGCTGAAGAAGCCAAAGATGGCAACGAGCGAGCGCAACGTGCCCGAGGTGATCAAGGCGACCGAGCATCAGCTGTATGACGATTAGAGCGCATCGCCAATCGCCTCTGGACCTTGTCTATTCGATAAACATAATAATGTACTAGTAGTTCACGTCATCTCGCGTTTGGTTGAGCATACATTGGCGACAGCCAGCCGAGTAGTCTGACGAGATACTACAAGAAATGGGTCGCAACGGTACGAGACCGTGTTGCGAATCGTGACAACGATCATTGGCCGTCTCGATTGGCGTCCATGGGCTCACAGGTTTGTGGCCTTGCACATGCGAAGCGGTCCCGTCGTGTTCAAGCCAACGCGGCTTCCCGTGCATCCTTGCGCGTCAGTGGGCTGGCTTCGCTCGCTACGACCGTTGCCGAGCCGTTGCAGTTGAGCAGCATGAGCAGCAATCGCTGCCGAGCCCGCAGCAGCCCCGACGAACGATGCGCTCTTGGGCAGCTACTAGTACCCACGTGACCTCGAGTCCAGCGCGTCTTGGCTTTGGATTGCGGCAGCGTATCCGGTTGCTGGACAACACTATCCGGTAGGAGCAGTTTGGATTCGATCAGGATGGACGATGGACAGCGACGATGCAAGAGCCCATGGTCGCCGACCTCGGCGAGTGCACGCGCGTGGCTTCAACCAACGAGCCGCCGCAGCGGTAGCCCGCACCAGACCCTCTGCACCCGAAGAAGACGTGCTTTCGTTGTTGGCCGGTTGCCCAAGCATTCCGTCGGCTGGCGCGCGCCCTGACGTCAAACGATTCTGGATACTGGGCGATGTGCAAGAGCAGATCAAGCCACGAGGCTGCGTCTCGAGTCGTGACCGCGCTCACTCGTGCTGCATTCGCATAGTTGGTCCCTCGATGCAGCCAGAGACGCTGGCTACCCCAATGATGTAGGCTGCGTGCCGTTGGCCGACTTCGCGTGCGTATTCTGTACCACGCGTTGTGGAGCTGCGCACGGCTCACAGTTGGGCGAGGCCAGCAACTTGGAGCCGCGCGCCGACGTCCTCTCGAGCTAGAGCTGCCTACGTGGCCAGCGACACTGACTCCGTTCTCTTATCGCAACCTTTGCCATGAGCCAGCGCGGTTCAACGCAGACACTTGGGATCAACATCCAGCGCACATCGGTAGCGCTCGTCGACGACCAACAAGTGGTGCCTGCTCGTGCTTGGCTACGCGTCGCCAAGGTCTTGGCGCTGAGCGCCTAGCGGCCGGCACTATTGCTGTGGTGCAGCGCGTTGACCCGCTCTTGTCCATACTCGTAGGATGTGCGAGTCGTGGTTGCTGTCGACATTGTGGCGAACATCTGGCAGCTAGTAGTCGCATCCTCGGCGTCGCTGCTACTGTCCAAGAGATTGCCAACTCCACGAACGAGGACGCATCCAAGCTGATGCTTTGGGACTCGCCAAGTGGAGACGTCGCATTAGGCAGCGTGTAGGCTTGAGCAGAATGAAGCTTGATAGCGAGTGTATGGTCGTGCGAGTCTTTTGTGTCGGAGGGTATGCGGTGACAACGGCAAAAGACGTGTGCGCCCGAGCTAATATGCTGAACCAAACTCGTTAGGAATGCCCAATAGCTTGCAATAGGCTAGTAATCGATTGAACAACGTCCATACTTGATTAGTGACGTGCACGCTTTAAATGTCAATCTCGTTCATGAGCTGGTGCTTGGCGAATTGAATTTTCTTGACGGCCGCGAGGATCACGCGCAGGAATGCGTCGAACGTCCAATACACAGATGGCTGGAACGTAAAAGCCTTGGATTTGTGATCGACGACAATGTCGGCAGCCGTGATGAGGTGGATCGGCTCGTCGATCGCGTCGACAAGGGCTCGTGTGTCCCGCCCCTCGCTCACGGCCGCCTTGTACTCGCGGATGAGCTTTCGCGTCTTCAAAAAGTGCTCTTGTTTCGTGCGCTGGACCACGTCGGCGACGATAGTCGCAACGGCTTCATCGAGCGCCGTCGAAAGCGCGTGACCCACGCTCGCGGGAGCGGGGTGGTCGGTAAAGTCCTTGACCAAAGTTGCGCCGTCGCTTGCCCGGTGCAACGCCTTGGCCTTGAAGCGTAGCACAGCGTCACGCTGCCCAGCGCTCAAGAAAACCGTTGTTGTCCCGTCTACACCGGGTTGAGCGATCAGGGCGAACCCGGTGCGCGGCGCCTTGGCCGAGGTAGCGGGTAAGAGCGGCTCGCTCGGCGCGTGCCGGGTCGCTTGGCCCTGCCCGATGGTCTCCATGGTCTGCGGCGTAGCGCTCATCGTTCTTCTCTTCTGTCGGCGGCTAATTCTGCAATGGAGAAACCTCGTCGAAAGCGACAGGGGGCGCAAATACGGGGCAGACTACTACAGATAAGAGCTTACCGTCACCTACGTACCTGTCGTCGACTAGAAGCGGTCCATAGCGGGTATTGAACCCGCGGCGCTACCGCAGCCGTCCGCGGTAGGCCCTCCAAGTAGGACATCGGCGGCAGCCATGCTCGGGCTCGTGGGTTTGGCAGGATGAACTTGCAGCCGCAATATCGGTCATCCGGATAACCATGCTTTACTGGCGTCAACTTCGAGATCGTAGCTTCGGCATTGTGTATTTTTATTTAGATGACCAATGGTTCTAGCTGCTTTTGCTGCAATACAATAAAGTGTGACTTCTGCTTCGAAGTTCGGATCGCTCAGCTGCAGCGCAACATCCATAGAGAGACGTCTCTTTCTCAAGCAGCAGTCAAAAAACCTCGATGATAAATCCAAACGAAAACATAAGATCGTGCGGATTGGAGCCATGGCGTTGGCATCAAGCGAGGAACGTCGCTGCTCGCGAAAT